ACTTTTTTCTTGTTAATTTACGAACGTATTCTCATTAAACTACATTATTCTTAAAATCTCTCCTCAAGGTTTCTTTAAGATGAAAGATTACTTTAACTCGATGCAGAAACTGGGCTGGAACGTCTCGTGAGACACAAGACGAGTGAGACAATGGGACGAAGAGAAGATTCAACAGAAGAAATAAAGGAAAGGATGTTTCTACACATCCCACTTAATGTCCCAGAACAGCGGCGCTGCTCTCTCCGTGGCTGCACCCGTGACCTCCATGACGACCTCTTCGGGCTGGTGAGGCAGCGACGTGACCACGTCTTCTTCCACTGAGCGAGCTGGAGGGACAACAAGTTCACATTTATGATCTCAGAGCTTTACAACGAGAGGAGCAAATCTTTGCTGCCTGCGTGCAGAGTTTTTAACTGAGCGACTGTGACACAGCTCTGAACGTTGTCAACTCAAGCACTTACGTGGCGTGCAGGTGATCAGAGGCTCCTCCCACTGGCCACCGGGCAGGCACTTGATTACAGGATTCAGTTTCTGAACCAAACCCTCTTCACAGTAGTACCGCACCTTGGTGTTGGTCTCGAAACGCAGACGCTTCTTCCCGAACACCTTGGCGTAGGGAACCTGCGGGGGCTCGCCACACGAGGCTGTTGGGTGGAAACAAAATGGAGACATGTTCTGTGATTTCAACACAAGAGCTGCTCTGGAAAAGGTGCAGCTTCATCGGGTGAACTCACAGACACCCTTCTTGCAGGTGTAGGACAGGTGGTAGTTGCAGGGTACGTCGCTCCACTGGCCGCCATCGTGCCACACCATCACCGCACAGTCCTCGCCGGACAGGAAGTAGCTGTCTGGCTGGCCTCTGTACCAGTTCTCATAGAGCTGACACAGGATTCTTTTCTTAATGGGCAGCGATTCACTGCAGCCGATCAGTAACTGTGTATATCATTTTTATTCACCGTCGACCGTCAAGACAAACTTTAAACAGAGACACTCACCAGAGGGTTCCCGTCCGACCAGCGGAAGTCTCCCTCTATGGTTCTGTCATTTAGTCCGATCCACTGATATTCTCTGTATTTGTCTGCAAATAAACATTAGAAGAAAAACAGAGCAAGAAAATAAACCAGCGGCCTTTCTATCAGAGCACATGTGATATTCAGCATCCTGTTGTTTCAGTTTCTTTTGTTTGTCATATTTCTGTCCTGATTTATTTTCCCATTCGAGGGAGTGGGCAGAGACGTCTCAGGCTTCTACCCCCGGTTGTATTTAGACATATCTGGAATGAGATGATGGACATTAACAACCTTGAATTCAGTAAGAACGAAGCCTCGGCTGTTGTTTGCGGAACAGTTTGAGTGTCGGTCTGATCCATGGCAACCGCCCGCACAGTAAAACTCCACTGCCACCGGAGGAATGTCAGATTAGGATCTTGTCGCCTTGTTGCCAGACGAAACACCAGCTTCAAAACCGTGACGCTGTCTTCAAAAGAAAAAGGAGGATTGAAGACATGAAAAGTGTCTGTTGTGTCTTGTCTGGACACATTTGAGAGGCGTCGTTAAAACAAACTCGATACTCAGGACGTCCGGATCAAAGGAGCGTTGGAGAGTCGTTCCTGAGCCGTCTGTTTTTTCATCCACTGCGAAGGCAGAAAAAACATGGACGCTGTGAATGAAATGTGTATTTATGTGTTTGGAGAGTTGAAACCACAATCTGACATCTCTGAACTAAATCTGCAGGAAAGTGAAGAGCAAAGAAAAAGGATGAGGCAGAGACTGATCTGATGAACATGCAGTTTAGAAAAAGTTCAAATTAGCTGATTGTGAAATTGTGTTAATTAGTTTATAAGCGTGAAACTCAGCCGCCGCGTGAGTTCACAGTTAATATGCATCATGTCAGTCTGCTTCATGACTGATCCGGGATCTGTGGCCACAACGTGGATGGTGGATCGTGACCATGATAGAGGATCGTAGCTCAAGATCACACATGGTGACATCTGAGGCATCGACTGTAAATAAAGATGGACGACACGTCTCCACTTCCTCCCACGATCCAGAAATGAAGCCAAAATATCTCGGATACGACCGCGGCCATCTTGTGCGTTGGGAGTCCGACTCGTTGCTGGAGCATGTGACTCACAGACTCTGGATGATTTTGGTTCCAGGTCTGCTGTTTTTTTTCTTTTCTGGGGTTTCACACTTTACCGTTGACGTAGTCTTGCTCCTCTGGGGTCATGAGGGAAATCAGGTGTCCGCCGCACATCCGACAGTGCTGCTCCGCCGCCTCCCAGCTCTGCCTCTTGGTGAAGTGATGGTAACAGAAGCCCTGGAACTTCTCCCAGCCCGGCTCACACACCTCCAGGTCTGAGACACAGAGGAGGACAAGAGGAATCAGTGGGAGGGTCTTTTTTAAACGACTGTGTGTCTCCTCTGTCCGTGCATCAGGCAGTTGATACGGCACCTGTCTGGCACAAATCTCCTCCGTAAGCCGGCAGACAAAAGCACTTTCTCGTTTCACCGTCGACACAAGTGCCTCCATTCAAACAAGGCTTCTCCAGGCAGTCTGCAGGAGAAGAGGATGAGGATTTTAATTAAATATCACAATGATTGTAGAGAAATCATCTGATAGAGCCGATAACACTTCATTATTTAAGTCGTGTCATTTGTCAGGAACCATCAGCGTCTCACACTGCAACCTCACGTGATTCGTTAGTCCTACTAAATTATTATTATTATCATAAGAACTTGATTTATTCAGCATCTTTAAACGTGACCACTGCCACTGTACATATGTCAATAAAATAAAAGTAGATGAACCAGGAACTGATGTGGCTTTTATATCTTTTTTATAACACATTCTTTTTTGCTCAAACAAACAAAAATCACGTGATTCTCAAACTCACTAATGTGTGAGCACATTTCTGAATAATGAAATAATCCTTTCAAAACTAAAGCTTCACTGTGTCAGAACTTTTTTCCCAACACATGGTCACATGATATTGATTTAATCCATAAATCCTGAACGCCCCAAAACAATCAACGTTCCTCTGTTCATCAAGACAATCAAAAACATTCTGGAAATTAAACTTCTTGAACTCAAATGAAACACCAGCAGATGGCGCTGTCACATCAGGTGAAGGACTGCAGGCTGCGTTACAGGGATCGAAATTCTATTTCTTTCCCACTTTAGTTTTTGCTTTTACATGTAAACACGAAACATAAAATTATTAATTAACTGTTACAGATTTTACTCTAATTCACCTGAATCAGGATTTTTGTCCGATCATTTATTTTGATGAATATAATAATCATCCCGACAGTGATTTTATATTTTAACAAACCTTTTTGGATTTAAATAGAAATGCTTGTGTTTTCTGAAATGTGGATATTGAAACCCTGCTTATGTAACAGAGGAGATTCCAGCTGTGATCTGAGTTGAATTGTTCTCTGAGTATTTATTCAAAGTGAGAAGCTAATCTCTGTGTTGTGCTGAGTCCGTGTTAACTGCAGCACACAGTAAATTCCTTTTCAGGCTTTCTGTTTCCTGGACTTCAGGCACCTGAAGCAGCTGCTGGTCTCACAGCAGGAAGTCCGGCACCCACGGCTTCCTGTTCCTCCTCTTGGTGATTCTCTGGGTTCATGGTGGCGGCAGCGTTCACATCATGAGCGTCTGTGGTGAGAGTCGAGTTCTCTTCGTCCTCACCTGGACGCCACGTGAATATTTCTCCTGTGCCGGTCTCACCTGCCTCAGATCCACCTTCTGCTGAGACAGATCATAAAACGTTCACAGGTTATTTCCAAAAACACACAACTGAACTTTTTAGATGATGAAAACTCAAACTCGTCAGTGTGAACGTGTAAAGCTCATATTCACTTAACATGGTTCAAGGAGACTTTGTGTCGATGAGCCGGGAAAACATGAAAAGCAGGTTTGAAATGAAGCGAAATGAGTTTTTGTTGTTCGTTCGATGGATTCTATTCCATTTGCTGGAGGGGTCAGATGTGAACTTAAGGAAGGACTCAGTAAACTGGATCCAGATCAGGTCCTGGATTCGTCTTCACTTTCGTTAACATCATAAGATACGATGAATTTGTGTGTGTGATTTGGTGCAGATCCAAATTAAAAATCTGTAGTGAACTTAAATCTGTTCATAAGGATCTGAGTGTTTTTCTAGTTTAGGTTTGTTCACCAAAAAGCTTTTTCTGTTTGATCACTTAAACTCACCGCTGACGCTGCCGGTGTTGACCTCTGTTGTGACCTCTGTTGTGACCTCATCGGTGTCCTCAGCGCTGTATTCTCTGTCAGAGCGGGACTCCTGCGCTGTGGAGGAGGAGGAGGAGGCCTCTGGTTCCCAGCCGGGGGTCAGGGTTGGATGAGGGATCAGTGTGATTTTAACATCTGGACGAGGAGGTGCCTCGGTTCCGACCTCGCCATCTGTTCCCTCAGAGGCGTGGTCTGTTGCTACGGTCGGGTTTGTCACCAGATGTTGTGGTTTCATCTCCGGGCTTTGTCCCGATGATTCACCTGATCCCTCCGTCTCGTGTCCGTCCCTCCCCTCCGGGTCACTGTCTGTGACGCTTTGCAATGTGCTGAGAAACGCTTCTTGGCTCTCTTGTATTTTCTGCAGTTGAATATGTTCCTGGATGTCCTCCAGAGGTTCCACCCCAGACGAAGCGTTGCTCTCAGGCATGAGGGGGATAATCTCTGGGGAGCTGGATTCAACCTCCACCGACGGGGGAGAGAGGGTTACGGACGTGAACGGAGTGATGGGGTCGTGGTTTCGAGCAGGAGCATCGGTGGAGTCGTCTGAGTCTGTGATGACGTCTGCTGTTGGGATTTCAGTGGGATGGACGTGTCCACTCTGGTCCACCGGATCTGCCTCCTCTGAAGAGGATTCCACGTCACCACGGTCGACTGGGATGGACGACTCCATCATCACACCTGAGTGATCTTCAGGAGGATTATAACCTGTCAGGAAAACAGAACCTGAATTTATTTGTTCTTTTCTGAAGCGTTTTCGTTTGAGAGCGAGAATAACAGTGTTTTTATTTATCGTCCTCTTCGTCATTTTTCTATTCTTCGATTCACTGTAGGAATTCAAGCGTTTGACGAACGCAGAGAAGCAGCGTGAGGAGCAGAGCTGAAGCTGGAGAGCAGGAGATCTGAGTGCAAGCAGAGTTAATCTAAGAAGGGGCTATTTGAGTGGGAGCACGGGGCTTCATGAGGAAATCTGAACATGAAATCAAGAACCACTCGGAAACTGACCACGCTCTTAAATAAAGAGAAGAAAAAACGTTTAAATGGGACGATTAACATTTATAAAGTCTTAGTCTTCCTAAGATGTCTTCCTAAGATGTCTTCCTAAGATGTCTTCCTAAGATGTCTTCCTAAGATGTCTGCCGACTCTTCCAAACAGTTACTGTCATTGCTCGTGTCTCTGTTTTGGTAAAGTTGACCCTCACAGCATCACGAGCAATAAGACCTGAAAAATAT